AAAGCCAGTAGTAAATAAATATAAACATTAGAAATATTTTCCACCACTCATTGTTAGTGGACTTATTATCATTTGTTTATTTTGCATTTTGCACGCCAGCATAGAACCACTTACCCAATCGTGCCATGATTTACAATCTCTGTTTGTTTTCTAAAACAAAACGAATGAGGGGTCATAAAAAACAATTAATAGCCATCAATGGTTGGTGAATTAACTGACTGACTGACTTACTGGCTGGCCATTGAGTAAAAATAGATGCCCGGTCGATAAGTGATATCAGTGAGAGTACCGTTCTGAAATGGTCATAGAATGTAAACTTTTAAACGGTGACTGATTGTCTTTGTCGATCCAATATAGGCTATATTAAGTTTTTTGTTAAAGAATTTTTTTGGTGGTGGTAGCAGCTAAAAGAATAATTAATAATATTTGACAGTTAACAATTTATATTAATTGAACAATAAGTGACACTTTATTAGCGCATTGAATATTAAGCAGAAAATATATGGAGGATTTTCTTAACGCCTATATAAAAATATAGGCGTGCATGTGTCTTAGTCCTTGTTATCGGATAGAGATATTTTAAACAAAGAATTTACTAGAAATATTTCGATTTAATTTTGTTGAAAAAAAAAAATCAAGTAGCTGATAATTGAAAAGCAATTTTGAAGCAACAAATTAATTGTGAATTATTTTAATAAGTTTCCCAAATAATATGCGGCAATAGATAATTGTGTCTGGTATCGTCTACCACCTGGCCACAGGTATTTGTTTTTTATCGCCCGGCAGAAATACTTATCATGAATAGGGTTACCAACCCATTGCTTTATTAAGGGCATGTCGTCCAAGACAGTTATCTGAGTACTTTCGAAATCATCACTGTGGATTTTTTGTTATCCTCCACCATACTTAGTATGGAGGGCGTATAAAGGTCGTCATTCCGTTTGTAACTCATCGAAATAATCATTTTAGACCCAACAAAGTATATATATTCTTGATCAGCGTAAAATTCTAAGACGATTTAGCCCAGTCTGTCCATCCGTCTGTTGTAATCACGCTACAGTCAAAACGAATTAAGATAGGAAATTAAAATTTTGCACAGATTTTTCTCCAGGCAGCTCAGCTTAAAAAATGGACCATATCGGTCCACAATATCGCATAGCCCCCATATAATGGGACACCCCAATATTCGGTATTTTGATGATTTTAGCCAACATTTTTAATGGAATTGTCTGAAAATCCACACAAGGAGTTCCTTCTACATACTTTACCCCCTGGAAGAAAATTGTCAATATAGGTCCCATATACCAGTACCCCGTCCCCCCCGATATTCGGTATTTTGATGATTTTAGCCACATTTTTCAATGGAATTTTCGGAAAAATCCTCACAAGGAGTTTCTTCTAGGTACTTTACCTCCGGAAAGAGAATTGTTTACATAGGTCGAAAATATCGTATGTCCCCCATATAATGATTCCTCCCAATATTCGGTGCTCTTAAAATTGTTGCCAAATTTTTCAATGGAATTGTCTGAAAATCTACACAAGGTGTTACTTCTGAGTACTTTACTCCCTTCAGTAGAATTGCTACAACGGTACCCCCCAATACTCGGTATTTTGATGATTTTAACGACATTTTTCAATGGAATTGTCTGAAAAATCCACACAATGAGTTATTTCTGAGTACTTTGTCCGCTAGAGTAGGTCTACGCTATCGTATATCTCCCATACAACGGTACCCCCCGATATTCGGTATTTTGATGATTTTAGGGACATTTTTTACCGGAATAGTTTCAAATTCCGTACTTAAAGTACGTAACGGGTACTAAAGCCTATGACAAAATATTGCGCATACTGATTCACGTCTTCGTATAGCAATCATATAAGGATACTCTCCCCCAATATTCAGTATTTTAAAGATTTTAGGGACTGGAATTTCTTCAAATTTCGTATTTAAAGTTCGTAATAGGTACTACAATCTATGACGGAAAATTGTCTATGCAGGTCCAGGTCTTCGTATAGGTTCCCTATAATGGTACGTCCCTTTAATTGGTATTTTAATGATATTAGCGGCATTACTCACTGGAATTACTTCGAATTTCGTATTTAAAGTTCGTAATGGGTACTACAGCATATGACAAAAAACAAATAATTTTGAACGTCTTCGTAGCCCCCATATAACAGTTTTCATTTAGGCGGTATTTTTCGACGGTATTGTTTGGAAATTTTTCAAGATCCTTTAAAATGATGGAGGGTATTAAAAGTTTGGCACTCAGCTGCTTTTATTTGTTTTTCCCTTTAGGAGCGTAAACAAAGAAATCGGTCCATCAGCCAACGTGTGAACTTGCCCGGTTTAGCTAACCATAAGAAAATCGATTCAATATGATTTGACAAAATTTATTCGTAGTTCCGCCACATATGCCAAATTTCATTGAAATCGGCCGCAAATATATATGGGAGCTATATCCAAATCTGTACTGAATTCAAATTATTTTTGGTACCAAATTTTCGTTACACCTTCCAAGTTTTATTAAAATTAGAGATATGTAGAGTGTTTGGCGCATCAAATATACGAAATCGGCCGAAAATATATTTGGAAGCTATTCGAAATTTGAAGCGATTTCAATATAATTTGGCAAACTTATTTTCTGATCAAATTCCGCCACTCATTCCGCATTTTATTGGAATCGAACATATATATCGTGTTTGGTGCATCAAATATGTGAAATCGGTCGAAAATACATATATGAAATATGCGAATATACAGGGTGAGATGAAAAAACTGCAACCAACTTTAGACTGCTGTCATTTCTAAGCCACTCGTCCGACAGCTGTTAAAATTATTCCAGTGACAGTGAATAACTCTTTTGTGTCTCGTACCATCGCTCGTTACCGTGATACTGGTAGCGTAGCCCGAAGTTAAGGAAAGCAAGGTTCGCACTAAAAAATACCAAAGTGTCGATCACGTCAAGCAAGCGCTTCGCTGGGAATGGGCCAAAATAACGCAGGCCATAGGGACTTTGTTGCAGTTTTTTTTATCTCACCCTGCATATATGGGATAGAAATCTGAACCGATTTCAATATCAATAAGCAAAATTATTTTTGTGCTGATTTCCATTTCACATTCTAAATTTCCTTTCAAAAACAGAATTTCGTGTAGGTACCTTCGATTCTGATCCTATATCTTCAGTTCCAGGCGGAATTTAAATGATTTATATAGCCCATGTTACTTTCAGGCGTCCCTGTAGTATGTATGGATGTACCAGAAGAAGAAGATAGGTTATCAAAATGTTAACATTTTGTGGGGGTGGTACCAGAAGGAGTAGTCTGATTTAATCCACCTTTAGGCCGGATCTTGTGTTGGTACAAATGGTTATATGTGTGAAATATGAAGATAATCGCCTGCTTATTTCACAGAGTTATAAATATCCAAATTTTTGACCATTTTTATACCCTACACCACAAGGTGGTCAGGGTATTATATCTTTGTGCATTTGTTTGTAACAGGCAAAAGGAAACGAGATAGACCCATAGTTCCTTTTGATGATCTGCATAGAATCACATTCTGAGTCGATTTATGCATGTCCGTCGTCCGCCTGTCCATGTATTTTTGTAAACAAAGTACAGTTCGCATTTATTGCCTTATCCAGAAGAAATTTTGCACAAATCATTTGTTTGGCCCAAGGACGAACCCTATTGAAATTGGAGATAATCGCTCAAAATTTAGATATAGCTCCCATATATATCTTCGTCCGATTTACCTTATATTGTGCACCAAACGTGTAATATAAGCCCGAATAGTATGGAATTTTGCACATACCACCGAATTGATCTAGAAGGTAGTATGCAAAATTTGGTGAAGATCGGTTCAGATATAGCTATAGCTCCCATATATATTGTTCATCCGATTTGTTATATTTTTTACCTACAGCCGTAATATGCACACCGTAACAACGATATTTATGTAAATATATCAAATACAGCTCAGAAATATCTTTGCCAAATTTTATGGAGATCGGTTCAGATTTGGATATAGCTCCCATATATATCTTTATCCGATTTCAAATTAATTGTGCACCAAATGGGCAATACAAGTCCGAATTTAAAAGATACAAATGCTTCGGCATATTTAGTCTTTTGAACTTTGAATTATAATTATAATCATAGCGTGTATGATTGAATTCTCCTATAAAAACTTTTAATTGTTATGCGGAGCTCTTCTAAATTAGCAAAGTGGTGTAGGGTATCATAAAGTCGGCTCGCCCGACTTTAAGACTTTCTTTACTGGTTTTAATTGATGAAGTGGGTCGATTTTTTTAAATACTGCGATATAACAAGAACTTTGAAGGAATTCTGATGTTATATTGGAGGATTTTCAAAAAAGAGTTTAGGGGGCCATGAATATATACCAAATTTTTTTCAGATTCTTTTGAAGACATATCCTTGGATTTTATAATAGCAGTTTTTACAGAATTCTAAGTAACATCTCTGAATTATAAAAAAAAAAAATAGTTTACTGAAGCCATATTAAGGCATCTAAATGGGAGGATTCAATTTAAGTAAATAGATTTTGAAGATAAATCGATTTTAATACCTATATTCTTGGGTGGCTTTTAAGGTCTTCTGAAGACTTATCCGTGAACAAAGAAAATATTCTTTTGATTAAAACGTTGGATTTGTAATAAATTTAAAAGTCTTTGAAATTCAAAATTGTGGATTTTATCACAATATTTATGCCCTACCCTACTACATGGGTGGGTGTTATAATTCAGTTTAGGCGTAAAAGATTCTATCATTGCAAAATAATGACCAAAAATGTATATGTGTGTGTCCTGGCGTGAGTTCCCCCACTTCTAGTGCAAATTTCGATTAAAGGACTTGAGGGGCCATAAAAGATTAAGGGTTTTAATGAATATACAAATTTTCTGGCTGTTTATACAAAAAATGACTTATTGAGCTTGAGAATATGGTTGGACCTCCGCAATTCTCACTAAAATTCGTTCATATTTTTTCAATAAATGCATATTTATTTAACATTTCCAAGAGAAAATGTTCATTTCATTTCACAAAATTAATGCTTTGCAATGCAATCGCCAATGGTGGCATGGATGTTATCCAATTCAAGGACAGCCGTCTCAGCAGCGGTGTGGGTGCAGGCATCGGCATCATGAACAACAGCTGGAATACGTTCGTTGGTGCTTTCACGAATGGTTCTGATCGATTTGCGTGAGCTATTCAGATACAAAGTAGCCTTAACGGTCAAATTGGCATAGCAGGTCTTCTTCAAAATTTGATTCTTGTAGTTTTGACACTTGCGATAGGTGGTGAGGACATCGTAGCCACCGAAGACCAATTGTTGGGTGGCAGCACTGATATCGCTCATAATTTCAGCCGAAGTCTTGGCAGCAACGACACCACAGACATTCATTTCACGGTGCATGGCATCAACGGTGGCGGCGACACGTTCATCTTCGGCGGCAACACATTCATCACTTTCGGCACGGAGGGCTTCAATACTTTCGACAGCCTCATCAACTTGTTGCAAAGGATCCAAAACGATATCTTCGACGGCATGTTGCAATGCTACGGCAGCCTCCTTGGCAATTTGACCCATTTCGTTGAGGACATCATCGACCATGCCTTCATAGTTGACTGGGGGCTGGGCAATGGTGCCGGCGTGGACGGCCACCAAGCACAAGGCGAAAATTGCGAAAATAGCTTTCATTTTAATTTGTTTCTTTGTTACTTTCAAACTAATGGACATTTGGAAATTGGGGTAGCTTTTATAGGAAGAATCGAAATGGGTTCGATTGTTATTATTTTTAGCGAAATTCCCAATTTGACGTCAGAATGTTAGGGTATCCAAGATTAACACTTGCATTCTTTTGTCATAAACGCATTTAGATTCTTGTAGCGATTATAATCGAGTAATAGATTAATGGCATTTAATCAATGTTTTGAATTTTCGTGTTTTCACCGGCATTTCTTAGGGGTGAATGGGCCAAAAATTTACGAAACAGCTGAGATTACTTGTTAAAGATGTTTTTATATATTTTTTTGGGGAAATTTATAAGAAATAAGTTATGGAGATCCATGAGAGCTATGACAGCTGATTTTGAAAGAATATCTTAAAAAAATAGTTTTCAAGGACTACTAAGGCATAACAGAAGATTTTGGATACCACTTTGGTCGTATAATCCTACATTTCTAATGAATACTTTTGAAGGACAATTAAAGAAATAATCAGGAATTAAGAAGAACAATAATAACAAGAAAACAAGTAAAAAAACATTAAGTTCGGCCGGGCCAAACAGGAGGTACCGTTATATGGGGGCTATACCAAAACGTGGACCCATACATGCAATGTTTCGCCACCGAAGCTGGAAACCATTATGACCCACAAATACCAATTTTTAGGCAAATCCGTGAAAAAATGTGGCAAACAAAACAAAAATACCGAATATCGGGAGGTACCATTATATGGGGGCTATACCAAAACGTGGACCTATACTTACAATGTTTCACCACACGAACTAGGACCCATTATGACCTACAAATTCCAATTTCCAGACAAATCCGTGAAAAAATGTGGCATACGTCATCAAAATACCGAATATCGGGAGGTACCGTTATTTGGGGACTATACCAGAACGTGGACCGATATATCTCATTTTCAATACCAACCATCCTAGACACAATAACTCTGCTAAATTTTGGCGCTCTACGTCAAATAATGTGGGCTGTATCGTGATTTCAACAGACAGACGGACATCGTTAAATCGACTTAGAATTTTATGCTGATTATGAATATATATATACTTTATGGGGTCTAAGACGAATATTTAAGGAGTTTACAAACGGAATGACAAAGTTAATATACCCTCCTTTCCAAGGTGGAGGGTATAAAAAAGCTTTAATTTCGGCCGGGACGATCTTTGAATACCCTCCACCATTTGGAACGATTTTGACAATTTTCAAAAAAAAAAAAAATCCTTTAAAAAGCCCTTTTAAAATTTGAAAAATATCGAATGTAGCCGTTATATTAGGGTCTATACGACGACATGGACCTGCATAGGCAACTTTTGTCATAAACCATTACAATAGAAATCGGTGAGAAATGTAGCTAAAATATTCAAAATACCGAATATCGGGAGGTATCGTTATATGGGGGCTACAGGAAGACGTGCACTGCACAGATAATTTTCTGTCATAGGCTGTAGTATTTGTTACGAACTTCAAATACCAAATTTGAAACAATTCCGGTGAATAATGCCGCTAAAATCATGAAAATACGGAATATCGGCAGGTACCCTTATATGGAGGCTATATGAAGAAGTGAACTCGTACAGACAATTTACTGTTATAGGCTGAAGTATCCATTACGAACTTCAATTACCAAATTTGGAACAATTCCGGTAAATAATATCGCTAAAATCATCAGAGTACCGAATATTGGGAGGTATCGTTATATGGGGGCTATACGAAGTAGTGGACTTGCACACACAATTTTCTGTCATAGGCTGTAGTATTCGTTACGAACTTCAAATACCAAATTTGAAACAATTCCGGTGAATAATGCCGCTAAAATCATGAAAATACGGAATATCGGCAGGTACCCTTATATGGAGGCTATATGAAGAAGTGAACTCGTACAGACAATTTACTGTTATAGGCTGAAGTATCCATTACGAACTTCAATTACCAAATTTAGAACAATTCCGGTAAATATTATCGCTAAAATCATCAAAATACCGAATATCGGGAGGTATCGTTATGTGGGGGCTATACGAAGACTTAGACCTGCACAGACAATTTTCTGTCGTAGGCTGTAGTATTCATTTCGAACTTCAAATACCAAATTTGAAACAATTCCGGTGATTAATGTCGCCAAAATCATCCAAATAGCGAATATCTGGAGATACCGTTATATTGGGCATATAGCAAAACGTGGACCTACATCACCTATTTTAATTACCAAAAGTCCTGTAGACATAATACACATTAGAGTAAAATTTTATCAACCTACTTCATTTCGTTCGGAAGCTAGAGTGATTTCCACAGACGAACAGACGGATAGACGGGGAGACGGACGGACATCGCTAAATCGATATAGAATTTTATGCTCAACAAGAATATACATATACTTTGTGGGGTCTAAAATATATATTTCGAGGTGTTACAAAGGAAATGACAAACTTAATATACACTCCATATTACGGTGGAGGGTATAAAAAATATTTTTTAATTTCAGCTATATTCATGGAATTTAAAAAAAATTTGAGGTCAACTATAATCGTGGATTTTTCAAAATAAATTTTTAATTTCAGAAAATGAAGAAATGAATGTATTAAGAAAAATCAATTTTTAAAGTCAGCCATAATCTTGTATTTTTTAAACTTATTTTTTAAAATAAATAAAATGTTTATTTTTTAAACAACTTTTAAGGTCAGATATAATCGTGTATTTTTTGACAATTATTTTTTAATGTAAATAAAATCGGAAAATTCGAGTAAAAAGGAAAGGATGGAAAAGCTGCATCAGAGAACTTAAAATACAGAAGAGTTAAAATCCAATTCAAATCCCTGATGATGACTATCGAAGATAGTCGAAATATCGGACAAATAAATTAATATATAAAAAAAAATTCGTCTGTTTTTTTAAATTCTGACCTCGAGCCAAACGAAAAACCTGAATAAAATATATTGATCAAAGGTCAACAATAACTATACAAAATAAAATCGTAAACTTTAAATATTATAATTTTATTTATTTTTTAAGATAAATAAAATCGTGGATTTGGAAAAAATATTTTTTTAAGAATTTATTCTGAAAAGCAGTTATATTCTTAGATTTTTATACCCTACAACACTATGTGTTGGGGGTATTATAAGTTTGATTGGGCCAAAAATTATGTAACACCTCGAAATATTGATTTCCCACATAGGAAAGTATATATGGATCTTCCTATCTCGCCGAGTTGAGTCGATCTAGCTATGTATGTCCGTCCGTCCGTCTGTCCGTCTGTCCGTCTGTCCATGTTAATTTGTAATCACTCTACAGGTCGCAATTATGGCCCGATCTTCACGAAATTTAGAATGGAGGTGGGGCTAGGGTCAGAATAGAACCCTATTTCTTTTGGAGATGATAGCATAATATTTAGGGGTCGAAATGGACCAAAAACTGAAAAAAATTCGGATTTTGCAGTAGCTATACAGGTCGCAATTATAGACCAATCGACGCGGAATTTTGCATGTAGATAGAGTTTAGGGCGGGGAAGAAGCCTACCAATTTGGGTGGTCATCGGATAATATTTAGCGGGTAAAATAGACCATATCTTTTGTGTTGAAAAAATTCAAAATTTTTTATTAAACCGCGAATATTTTAAATCCCGGCGAAATCACCAAGCCATGGCAAGGTTACTTCTGATCTTTACATTGATGTTAACATCCAACAAAACGGATATATAGCAAAATATGTGCGATATATATGTCCATCAAAGAAGATATGCTTGAAAGATCTCTTATATGTCGAGAACGGCTGAACTGATTTCGACAGTTCTCATTAATTCAGAATGGCCTCTTGGCAGGAAAGAAAAATCGTCTAAAAAAATCGCATAAAAATATCTCTCTAAAGATGAAAATATGGATTTTGTAAAATTTTCTCATATTTTTTCAATTTTGTCATATTTTTTGGCATATTTTCATTTTGAATTAAACATTTGGTAATATTTCTACAGCTAACAAAACTAAGTAGTTAGGATATCAGGATATCATATACAGATCGCATTTATGGCTCGATCCTTACGAGATTTTGCATGGAGTTAAGATGAGGGTCAGAATAGAAGCCTACTCTTTTTTGGAGATAATCGCCATATATTTAGGGGTTGAAATGGACCAAAACTACAAAAACAAACTGCAAAATTGTCTGCAGGTCGTAATTATCGCCCGATCCTCACGCACATTTGAATGGGAGTTACCGGACATTACAAAAGCCAAGCAGTTTTGGATGGCCATCCAAAAATATTCAATGTGTGAAATAGTTTGCCAACTTTTGTAGACAAAATACGAAAATGTCCATTCCAGTGACTTTTTGGAGAATTCACAAATACAGGAAAGACGCACTTCTGACTATTTCGTTAACGCTGATTTCGTTCAGTCAAAAACCAATAATAAATATTAATCTTTTGCCACTTCTGAGAGATTATAGGTCTTTGGGAAATATTGTTTCCAGATCTAGGAAGACCATTTACGTGCAACATCTACCAATAAATTGGAAATGAGCAAATTAGTTAAAGTTGCTATTATTCGAAAATTAGAGAACGAAACCTGATGGTTTTCTTTTATTCTTTGTCACAATATCTTGCGGAATACTTTCAAGTATCTGGCCTATATAAACTGTATCGTTTATTATAGTGTTGTAGGGTATTAAACGGTCGGCCCCGCTCGACTGTAGCCTTTGCTTACTTGTTTAAAATTAATTTTGGAAGTCAACTATAATTTTGGATTTTTTAAAAAATTAATTTTTTTAAGGTAAACATAATCGTGGATTAAAAAATAAATGATTTATAGGGTCAGCTATAATTAGGGATTTTTTAAACTTATATTTTAAGATAAATATAATCGAGGAGTTTTAAAAATAAAATTTTTGGATCAGTATTTTAGAATTTTTGAAAAAAAAAATAAGATCAGATATAAAGGTAGATTAAAACAAATAATTTTTAAGATTTTAAGATTATAATCGTGGATTAAAAAAAGATT